AACCAGTTCATGGCAAGCAGACGATAGCAAAAGCAAGCAAGGGAGAAGACAAGTCTCCTTCTGTCTCTTATACTGTATCCAGGCTACCAGGATCAGGGCAGTGTCAAGCCAATCAGTGTACTGATTTAGTAATCACACACCCTAAATCCCAGCATCACACACTCTTGACTCTGCCACCTCTGAAAAAGCCCCAAATGTGACCACATGAGGCTTTGGGGGGAGATCTAGACCCAAATCATAACATCTATTGTATAAAAAAACCCCACATCTTCTTTATCCACTTATCAGTTGATGGGCATTTGGGCTATTTCCAAGATTTAGCTATTACAAACTCTACCGCTATAAATATGGATGGGCATATATCACTGTGGTACAATGCTTTTAATTCTTTTGGGAAGATACCAAGAAGGGGAATAACTGAGTCAAATGGAACCTCTAGTTTTAGTTTTTTGAGGAATCTCCACACTGATTTTCACAGTGGCTGCACCAGTCTATACTTCCACCAACAGTGGAGAAGGGTTCCTTTTTCCGGAACCACAGCCCTGCCAGCATTTGTTATTGGTTGATTTCTTGATAATAGCCATTTTCCTGGAGTGAGATGGAATCTCAGCCTTGTTTTAATTTTCATCTCTCAAATGACCAGTGATGTTGAACAAATGACACCTTACTTTGAATATTAGCTGAGGTTACAGTTTCCAGAAAACTTGTGATGTCTGTTGGCATCCAATGTCACTCAAGCATTGAAGGATTAGGAATTTACTCCAGTCTTCCTAATCTGGCTTTTGTTTGTGCTTGTCTTTCCAGAAATCCCAAGCAGCCTGCTTATTTTCTCTGAGCCCATAGTTATTTCCACTATTTCAGCACTAGATAGCATCCATGCCAGATTTTCTGGCAGTCTGCTGTCGGTGTGTTGCTACTGTTTCAGTATTAGAAAGCAATCCAAACCCAAGTTTGTCCTGACACACTGCTGGTGTGTTGGTTCAAAAGAACCAGGAGAGTAGGTACAAAGAGCAGTCTGTTCCCACAAACCTGTGCCTGGGCCTAGGCTAGACCCAGATGCCACATCCACAATTACCAGGCTTTGGTCAGGCACTGCAGGATTCTGCTCAGCTCTGGGGAAGAATCACTGTAGATGGACCAGCCCCAGGTTCTTATGTCATACCTGCAGCCATCAATGCCACCATGTAGGGTCATACTCTGAGTGCACAGTCCAAGACAAGCACAGCACTGAGGTTAGACCAAAGCCTACACTGTTACACTGCTGCCTATTGCTGAGGTTGGCTTGTGGTTGAAGCCTTCTGCAACCAGCCACTGGCAACGGTAGCTAGAATAGCAGATCAACAGACTGAGGCCATATACCTTCCCCTGGCAGTGTAGCTGTTCAAGAGGTTCTATCTGTAGGCAGGCCTGGGGATAGGGGATTAGGATCTTCCCAGTGTTAGGTTTCATGGGCCCAGCACTAAGTTCCAGAACAAATTTTTGTACCCTGTCCTACTCTCCAGTGAATAAGGTCTTGCACAACACTCTGATGCCTAAGGTTTGGGTATTGTTGATGAAGGCAGTCTCTTGGCCATCTAGGCTACCTAAGTTGAGTCACACCACAGTGTGCACCTGCACAGTCTCAGGGGTGGACGAGGACCCACATCCCAGCTGGTAGAGATACAGGCCTGAACATGAACTCATCCTACAGAAGTGTAGATCTCTGCCTGGTATCAGGATAGTTATAGAGCCTTGTCTGTGAGCCTTGGCCTGGCAATATCTGTGCTGCCTGAGGATGAGAAACAGGTAGTGGAGACAGTCCCTTGGCCACTGAGGCTGACACAAAACTGGGCAGGACTTGAATCTCACAGGGGCATGCACTGTCTCCAGAGGAGGGTGGGTGCCTCTAAGGGCCCCTCCAAGGCTGTTAATGGTCCAGGCCAAAAGTCATCTGTTGCATGACTACACAGGTCTCCACATGATGCCAGGGTGGGTCTACAGGCTCCATCTGTGAGCTCTGGCCTATATATGGAATCTTCAGTTTCCACTAGATGCTGGGCCTCACTGTGATGGGCCTAGCACTGGGTTCCAAGTCATAGCTTCGTGCTAGTTTTTGTACCCTACTCCCCACAGAGTGAAGTACTGCTCCAAGCTCTTCCACCCCAGGTGATATGGGCATCAGGAGGGATGATGTGGGTGTCAGCTACCTCCCTAACACAGTTTCAGCATCTAACACATTCTTCAGCATAGTTATTTGGCCTGGCAGTAGGGGTCATGATGTGGCTTTCTTTGCCTAGCACTGAGTTTCACCATAGTAAGCTAGATTTCAGAGTGACTGGATAAAGTTGATCCACTTTTACTCCCCAAGTAAGAGGCAACTCTCTCCACACTGGGCTGCTTGGGGTTGGGGGAGGGGATAGGTGGGAAACTCTTTCCTTCCTATTTCTTCAATACATCTTCTCATTTTCTCATATTAAAATCAGGTATTACGGTCTCTCGCCTGATTTCCTTAGCTCTTATGGAGGTAGTTTGGTAGATGAACAAGCTGTTCAACTTGGTGTTTCCATGAGGAGATGAGTGCTGGGAGATCCTTAGCTGTCACTTTGCTCTGGCCTTGGTACTGTTATTTATAGTCTCAAAAAATGTTATTTCCTGTCAGAGGTGCACACCGAAGATTAATTAGTAAAAAATATAATTACTGAAATCTGTTTTCCAATACTCTATCAAAAAGAATGAAAGGAGGAATAAATTGACAAGGCTGGAAAAATGTTGATTTTGTTCAAGCTGCATAATGGGTAATAATTATGGTTACTTTTCAATTTTTCCATAGTAAAAAAGATTTTCTTAAATGCTATACATGCCTTCTTTTCTTATAATTAGTAAGTCCATCTGGAGATTTTATTTTGAAAGAAATGGGAATCAAGTCAGTGAAATTAGTTTCTTCTTTACAATGCCTGATTCTTTCACCTTGGAACACACAATTAAACTGTCTTTCTACTGTTAGAAGAGGAATTTTTTTTTGTTAACTATTTGACTCAGTTTCCTATATTCACTCTTCTCTAAGTAAAGACATAGACTCATACTTTATAAATAGTCATATAGAGGCAGCCCTCATTGTGCAGGACTCTATAGTCTGAGACTATAAAATCCTACAAAGCAATCTTAAGCAATGTGAAAAATTACAATTTTTGTGGTATTTAATTTTTTGTTTAAAATATTGAAACCCCACTTCTTGGGAGTTAAAATTGTATAGGAAACTATTTTAAATGTTTTTTAAAAGTAAAGTTAGTATTTACTTAGCGTGCTGTAGTTAAAAATTTCAGAAACACTATGGATTTATTTCATTGTCACAAATAACATTTATCTCTGAGAGTGAAAAAAAAATGAATTAATCTAGATCCAGATCTAATCAATCCTAGAGCACATGGAGATTCGCATGTTCATGTCTGACCTTAACAAATATTTTCCCCATTGTTGCAAAGTCACATCTCATTTCTTTTCCAACTTATGAAATGATGTGAGGATCTTTCCTATACATTGGTAAACTATCATAATCCTTTCAAAGTTTGGATCAGCTTCCATCATTTTATCCTTTGTACTTTCAACATCATAGAAAATCCTTTGTACTTTCAACATCATAAAAAATTCAACATCATTTGAAAATTCATTTTCTAATAAAACTAAGTTTGAAATAGCTATGATGTCTCGTGGAATTCTGTGAGGGTACATAAAAATTCCCTATGAGCTTCTAGATGTTGGACATGACTTTATAGAAGATCCTTGACAAAATACTGACAATGAAGTTTATACCTCTAAATCAGTGGTTTTCAAAGCATCTTTTAGCAATCAATGGCTCTCAAGCTTTCTTCAAGTGAAATTATACTGAAAACAAAACTATTCTAGAGTGAAGAGGTGGGGGTGGAGGACTCCGAATTCTGCCCATGGGCCTCCTTCTTTTAGCTCCTAGTTCACCCCTAAACATCTCCAAGAACATAGTTTGCAAATACCTGCACTTGTACTCTTTAGTAGATCAAAGGTCTAAGGTTGATGAAGTAGTCATTAAGCTACACACCATGATGCAGATTAGGATCTGACACGTGCATTCTACCCAGTGCATTGGTACTTGCAGGTCACCCCAGTCTTGACAGAATCATCCAGTCCATCTGTTTGTTTTTCTTTTGCAGAACACTGATTAGGATATAATGTTACTCTCCACCCATCCTTGTAAAGTAGTACTTCAAATTGTTCCTGGCTCTCAGCACTTAATTTAAACATGGCTTTGATTCCCATTTTCAAAGCACAACTTCACCAGCAACTCCCAACCCCTGCCTGGGCCTACACAAACAGTAAGCCTGAAATTAAGAGATATCTCACGCTATCCTGCGTATATCTAATCTGTATGAATACTGCTCTTCCCATGTGCTTTTTGCTCTTTTAGCTCCTTTGACATACACAGTCTTTGTTCCAAGGATCCATTTCCTCAATTACTGTACTTCCTTGTCTTCTTTACAGGATCAAACCCAGCTGTTGGAACAGTTGTTCCTTTCAGGAATAATCAGGTCTGGCTTTCAAGTTAGATCTCATTAATGCTTTGGCCGTGTCTTTATGAGCATGGTGCCCTTTATCTTCATCTACGAGGGCAGCCAGCAGAGAGAATGGAAGGAGAATGCAACATAGAAGGAAGGAGATTAGAAAGGAAGGAAAACCTTCTCCTTTAAAGTGTTTCAGAATGCTATTTCTCAACATGAGAGGAGAAGGAGAAAAGGGGAAAGGACAACAGGCACAAAGAGGAACAACAAATGCTGAAGTATTTCTTGGAAATTGGGAAAGGTAACTATGGCTGTGTATGTATGTGTGTGCACATGGGTGTGTGTTATTCTTTCACTTTTCTAGGTGTCCCCAGTTACAAAAGCAGTTGTAAAAGCAGCACCTCCTACCTCCTGTAAAACCTAAAATCCATTTGAAAATTTCCATCAGGACTTAAAATGTATACTTTATAGTGTTTAGTAAGTAAGAATTACCAGCTGATCATCCAGTCCAAAAAGTTGTTCAAGGTAAGTTTCAGATAATCTTCGAATTTTTGGCTTCAATGATGGATCAATGCACATATTCCTTTAATAAAATCATAAAATATGATCAAGAATTAATTTCCTTTCATAGTATGCCCATAAGTAAAGTCAGTGGCTCCTGTGGATGGTGTGGAAGGGACAGGTGAGAAGAAACAGTTCCCTGTGGGAGAAGAAGATGAGAATCACCTTGTGGGCTTTTTCACACTACCTCCTTGGATTAGCTTTCTCATCCTGCATAAGAGCAATACCCAACATCTACAAAAGCAGTTTAATTTACTCATTATTTCAGTGCATGATCAGCTGGCTCCAAAGCAGAGACATCATGGCAGAAGGGTGTGGTAGAACAATGCTGCTTAGTTCATGGTGCCAGGATGCAAGGAAGAGTGCCAGAGCAGAAAAGGTGAGGGACCGGACAGATGCCATGGCCATGTCTCCATGACCCACTTAGATGTGTGTTCCACCAATCCCTAGGGCGGATCCCAAAGCTAATCAAGTTGAAACATCACCCTAATTTGCTGACATCCCCAAGGAAAGGGGGTTATCCTCAAGGTGAAATAATCTGCCCTATGATCATATTTACTAATGAGAGTACACTACATTTCTCAGGCTGAGAACTCGTGAACATACTATTCACATTTAAGACTTTGGGACCTAAGAGGCTACAGAGGGATTGGTTAAGAATCTTGAGGCTGCAAGCATTCATTGACAAGACTTTATTTTGCTACTATGCTATCAGTGTTTTATCTTCAAAATAAAAAATTTCCCTCTCATATATTAAATCAGTACTTACCAAAGAAGACTTTCCAGGCCATTTTCAATGATAACCATGATCATTTCCTCTAAATATTTCAGTGGATCCTCGGGGCGGTTAATAATTACACCGCATAAAAGTGCCTGTAAAATAAAAGGTAATTTTAATTCATGTTTAAAAAAAGGAAGATGTAGCCAAGAGATAAGGGAAGGGGACATAAAAAGAATTAAGATGTGTTATGTCCATGTACCAACTCCTCACACTGAATAATCATTATGTACTGTAAACACATACTTATAGGACTTTTATTTTTTATTCAGTAGAATAAAATCAAAAGAACCAACCTATACACAATAAAGAAAATAAAGCTATACTTTTTTTTCAATATTCTTTGGCTGATCCTTCAATTTGACAAAGAAAAAAAATATTAATTTACAAAACCTCAGTTCTTATTCCATCTCTTTACACTCAGTGACTTTAATGTAATTGACTTTTTCTTTCTTTAATCCATAAAATAAGAAGTCATGTGTTATGATTTACATTTAAAATGTTCCCATAAAGGCTCCCATTTGGAAGTGGGGCCTATCCAGAAGGGGCGGGTTGTTGGGGATAGGAACTGGAAGAGGGAATTCTAGTTTCTCTTTTTCCGGCTGCCATAGGGGTAAGCAGTTTTCCTCTGCCATGCCATTCTGCCATGCTGTTTCTACCTTGGAGCCAGATGATCATGAACTAAATTCACTGAAACTATAAACCAAAATAAACCTCTCCTTTAAATTGCTATGTATTTGTGCCCACCACACGAAGGTTAAAACAACATTCCAACCCCCAATAAGAATAACATAGTAGCTATACTTGTTCAACATTTGTTGACTGTTCCTTGAATTTAACAACAGAAGTAATAAAGTACATATTCTAATCTATAAAAACGTTTTCTTTTTTTCCACCCCATTAACTTTATTGGTACATTTTAGGTATAAAATACAGTTACATTCATCATTGGGATCTTGTACCATTACATGAGTCTCTTGGT